GGTGAGAAGGGGGGGAGGGGGGATGCGTGCTTGATGCGCGGTTTGATTGATCAACCTGTGCATTGCCTCCGGTACTCGAACGGTGGGTCGGGTTCTTGTCTGCTCCACATGTAATAGTTTCCGATCGTACGGTCGACGCTGGACTTTTGGCTGGAATCTGGCTAGAAATCAACGGTTCTCGGGCGTGGCGCGGCGAGGCGGGTGGGATTGGGGCCTGGGCGGTGTAAGAGCACACGTGGTGGGCTTTCGGCGGCAGCAGTAGTGATCCCGGGGGGCGAGTCGTGCTTCGACACGCTCGGCGCCCCTCTCACGTCGAAACCACCCCTCGCACCGCGGTAGGAATCGTACCTAGCTTGTAGCGACGGAAACTACATGCAGCTACAGTGTATACGTTTTATTGGTTCGTTGCTGTCCAAAGACCAAGCACGAAAGCTGTATATTTCCAGCTGCTTGTCTTCGCACCGCACTATTTCCCTGCCGCCAATGTTGTGTGTTCAACACAAGGGCGGGGGACTGACGGCCGGTCAGGCCGGGGGGTGTTTGTCTATGCCGCCATTTCCAACCATACCCCCTGCTTCCGCGCGTTCGTGAACACCGGCAAGCCAATTCCATTCACCACCAAGAGTTGCGGTGAGAGTCGTTCATAGGCAGCTTTTGGCTCCGGTATTCGTGCGTGTGGTGAAAAACACATGAGCCTTCATATTACGAAAAGAGAGGAAACACACACAAAACACACCGACGCTCTCGTCGCGAGGAGCAACCAACCGTTTGCGCGGTTGCGAAGGAGCCTCAGGCATCGTTCTGAGGCATTGGCACGTCACAGGCCTCGTTGTGAGCAAATTACGCCTGTTCCTCGAACGCAACCAACCGAAGTCTCCGCCAGTCCTTCCCCCCCCCGCGCCCACAGACCCACACCTCAGTTCACCAAAAAAAACAGCGTCGTCAATAATAACATGCTGCACTGGACGGCTTCGAAATTCACCAGTGTGCACCAACCAACGCGGGCGGCATTTCCTCTGTGGGCAACACAACGCGCACCCACACTGAGGAGAACTTCACCCCGGCGACAATGGTCAAATTAGTCCGTGTATTTTGCCGAGCTGAGGGAACCCGACGAAACACGATCACCCTGGTGCACTCAAACGAACAAAGGACGCAAGCTGGAAAGGCCACGACGATCCCCTCTCTCCTCATCCCCCCTGCGGCAATGTCTACTCGTTTTCAAACCTCGCCGAAGGGAGAGTTTCCAAGAGCAACGAAACAGGAACAGCACTGGAGATCTGCCCGTCGTCCACGCTGGGGACCAAATCTTGGCATCTATGTACAAACCTGGACGCTGAAATTCGTCAAAACACACGACGGTGGGGGCACAGCAGGTATTTATTATCCCAACACCGCAACATTATATTCCTAAGCGATAGCAAACCTTGGGCGGTTCGCCTCTATGGCAGCCGTCGACACAAGGGTAACGAAAAGGGGGGGGAGGATGGTCGCGACACGGATCGGCGACCGGACCGGACCGACGAGCTCGAGCCCGTTACATAAACGCACATGCCACTACTATATACAAAGCAGATATCCTTGCGAACGCAGGTCACCTTCACGTGCGCACTCGCATGCAGCAGCAGTCGTGGGACACTTGACGGCATCAAAACCAGCCCCCACGACGGCACACCGCCGTACACCAGGCTTGCACACAAGGAGAGGAACCATCGATTCGTTCTCTCACTCACTCTCCGCTTGTGCTCTCTTATACTCTCTGAAACCTCCGACAAACCAAGGCACAAAACAGCACATGTAGCTCTGCGACCACCGACAGAACACCGCCCGCATCATGTCGGGTTTCAACCCTCCCCCCTCCCCTCAAAACTCAACCCCGTTGAACCAGTCGGGCACGGTGTACCAACCATGGATCGGGCGGAATAAGCTGTGTCCTGTGTACCCCCTCCCAGCCGACCATAGCTCCTAAACCGCAGAATCGAGAGACTCGTCGCCTATAGATCTTTGCAGTCCCGCATAAAAAGCACATTCATATATATTACAATAGCATTGCCTTTAACGCCGCGTGGGTGTGAGATACGTGTTGTCACTATTCCGTCTGCACTCGAAGGACAGAGAAGCAAGACGTCGTACGGGAACACCCCACCCCCCAAACCAACGACGACAGAAATCGCTACGCGTTTGTTCCCCTAAAGGGACCATTCGCAGCTCGTGCCCAGCCACATCACCAGAACATGCCCACCAACGCCTCAAGAACAACTTACCAACCCACGCGCAAAATAAACTACGGGTTCATGACGAGTACTCTTAGGCACCTACCGGATAATTTACATTGACGCACAAAAGCAAAAAAAAAACAGAACGCAAAAGAAAACGACAGACCATCACAGCACGACGGGGCGGCACGCGGCCACCTTTTTCGCTCGCCGGCTGCAATCAGGCTCTCAACAACTGCTGGGCGACCCTCTGTCCGGTTTGCTGAAAATCGTGGATCGATGTGGACACTTGAAGAGGGCCGCGCCATCAGTGGCTTAACCAAGGGTACCGTACCAACGCGCCAAGCATCAGCACCACGAAACCACACGGTCGGTGCGCGTGTGATTCGATTGCACGCGTGAAGCGCAAAGAGCCAATCGAAAACAAGAAAGGCAAGGACGGCCGCTCGAATGAGGTATCCAAAAACGAATCGATATCGAACAGCAACACCGCCTCTGCCGACAGCCCAGAACAGTGCTGCCGACACAGCAGTCACAAAAGGCCGGGCGAAGTACAACCCGATTCTGATTAAAGCCAACTGCAGGAGGGCAGGCAGCAACTCGAAGCCAATTACATCGCCCGGGAAGCAAAACACGTCGAATATCAACCAACAAGCGGGGAAAGAAACTTATCATGCTTGTGTGTGCCCGTCCACCCGTAATCATGTACTGTACGTCCGGACGACCTTGCCGATGGTCTCGTTGCAGACGGGGCACCTGTCCGCGCGGCTGGCGCACCCCATGCAGAGCACCTTGTGGCGGCACGCCACGAGGAGCGCGTTCATCTCCTCCACGTTGCACAGCAGGCAAAGCCCCTTCACGCGCAGCCTCGACATGGCGTCCTCTTCCTTCTTGAGGAGGGTCTCCAGCCTTCGGATTTCGGCCCGGCCGAACCTGGCGGGGAGGTGACAGGGGGGTTCACAAACAAGAGGAAGTGTAGGGTCGTTTAAACTCATTCGGAGAGGAGGAAAGAATAGAGGGATTGACACGGACGACGACGAGGAGGACGACGACATGTTGCTGTTGAAGAAAACGCTTCGCTTACGGCAGGGGGAGCCGTGCGGGCGTTTCGCGAGTGCTGCGGCCGCACAGCCAAAAGTCTGGCCGATACAACATGCAGAGGGGCAACTGTACCTTTCTTTGGCTTTGCCTGGCCTATTGGCAGTGATGAACTCCGACATCCCTCCCTCCTTTCGACATTGCTTGGGATGCCGCTAAAGGTGTGATCGCCGAAGACGTGCAATAGCCGTACAATATCTCACGCGCACCCCCGAGACAAGCCCCAAACCACCTCCCCTGTCGCCCGCACACACGACTCCGCCTTTCCTCCTCCCCGCTTATCCCTACAGCAAGTGTGTATGTGTGTCACGTAGCCAGCACGCTGCGCCGAGTGCTATTGTCATGCAACCCAAACCTCGTAGTCCACACGCATGGCTTGGACGTTGCGAAAACTTGCGTCGCGTATTGGTGGCCAGCCCGCAGGCGTGGGTATTGTTGCCAACAGCAACCAACACAATGCTGCTTTGGCCGTGGCGCACAGACAAGACTTCTTGTGCGTCTCACAAAAAAAAAAAACGTGGGGAGGATCATTTTGGCGTTCGCACTCAGGGCGTTGCGCATTCTATTTTTTGGCTTTGATTTTTACCCGCTGGTACTGACGTTTTTTCCGGCCAGTTGTCGCCGTCGATGCTAATGCGAAACACACATACACACGCACCTCCAGGGACCTTGGTAGTACCCGATGGCACTGACGTCTTTTCACCGGTCCGCCGTTGGCGCGGTCGATGCAAAATGAAGAAACACACACACACAAAACACACTACACACCTGAGCGCCGCCAGCCGAAGGTGCTCGGCATCATGCCGCACCATAACGCCATCCACGAACGCGGCCTCGTACTCCATATCCGTCCCGCTGCCGCTCCCGCCGCCTCCACCTCCACCAGCGGTGCCGCTGCTGCCATCCGCCGGCGTTCGCTCACCCCTTCGCGCAGCCAACTGATGCCACGTGCATCAAGGGGGGCAGCACCACACGCGCAAGTAGCAAAATGTGCCCGGATGGGATAGCCATTTCAACATCACATAAACGGAGTGTCGTTGGCACACAACGTCAAAAACCTAGGCAGTAATGAGGATAAGGGAAGAAGAGGAAGAGAGCTTCCCCCCCTAGCCACCTGGCCCTCCTTAGGTCCCTGTAGTGGAGCTCGGGGCGCGGGTTCGCTACGCATGCACTCTTGGTACACGAGGGCGCGATATATGCACCCAGGCACTGGCACTCAGCCACGCGCAGAAACGAAACCAAACGGCGTGAAAGGATAGCGCAGCAATCGGACTCGACTTCACAACGATCACAGGCCAAAAAAAAAGGCATCACGGGACGCCAACACCAACCACCACCAGTCGCGGAGATGCACCCAATACACCAGAAAAACGGCTTCCTTGGTCACAGCCCAGCCACCTACCGCGGTGGCTGCTTTCTCCTCGCCACCTTCCGGCAACGCCCCTCTTCTGCTATTGCCGCTCCGCCGCAGTCCCCGCCTTCGCTCTCCGTGTCCGTTTTCCCCCTCCTCCTCTTCGTCGTCGTCCTCCTCCTCGCTGTCGCTGGTGCTTTCGTCCTCCTCAAGCAGGTCCTGGTCCGTCGCGCCCACAACAAGGGGCACCGCCACCACCTCCTCCTCCTCCTCTTCTTCCTCCTCGTCCTCCTCCTCCTCCTCGTCTTCTCCTTCCTCCTCCTGCTCCGTGCCGCCCTGCTTCGCCTCCGGCTCTCCGCCTTCCTCGTCGTACTCGCCCTTGCTCTCGCACGAGGCCCGGACAAGCGGACGGCCCGGCGGCCCCGCCCCCGCTCCTCCCCGTTCTCCTTCCGCCACGGCTACGCCGACCCCTCTGTCCGCTGGAAGCGATGGAGCCGGGTCCTTGTACTTGATTACGCCGGAGCCGTGTGGCTTCCCAAGGTGGAAATCGCCCTTGTACCACAGCACGTCCCTCGCCATCTCGCCTAGCTCGGCGAGCGCACCTCTTGGTTTTCTCCTGCTGTTCCTCCTGTTGGTGCTGCTGTTGCCGACGATTCCGCTGCCGCCGCCGCCGCCCCCGCTGCTGCTGCGGCTGCGGTTGCGGCTGTTGCCGGTGGTCTTAACAGACGACAAGTACAGCTCCCCGTACCTGTCAAACGTGGCGTTTCGGGCATTGTTTTGGAACTTAATAGCCATGTCTACCGATCGTGCAGGCAAGTGAGAAATGCAAGAGAGACACCGCAGAACGCAGAGCGAGAACCAGCAACAGCAAATGTGGTACGAGCGCTGCTCAGAGGACGCACGAAAGTAATTACATCACTATGGAGAGACCTGCCGCGAAGGGCAGAACCTCTCTCTCTCTCTCCCTTCTCTCCCTCTCCCTCTCCCTCCCCCCCTCTCTGTTGGAAAGACGCCGGGCGTACGACATACTGTTTCTTCCTAAATGCACAAAAAGCCTACGACACCGTTTGGCGCAATGGATTGTGGAAAAAGATGTGGGACATAGGAATCCGGGGGAAAATGTGGAGGATGTTGAAAAAGATGACAGAATGCACAAGAAGTGCAGTGATGTTTGAAGGGGAAATCTCGAAGTACGTGGATATACTCCAAGGAGTCGCACAGGGCTGTACGATGTCACCCACTCTTTTCAAGATCTACATCAACGACTTGATAAGGGCGGTTGAAGCAGTAAGACAGGGAGTCCAAGTAGGGGGAAAGAGTGTGGCCGGACTGATGTTTGCAGATGATTTCGTGGGGGTATCCGAAACACGGGTTGCAGGAACAAATAGATGCGGCAGTAGGATACACCCGAAAATGGAGACTGTCGGCGAACGTAGGAAAATGCGCAGTACAGTAGGGGGCTCTCTATAGTGCTGGTATGTGTTCAGAGAGCAAAGCGGCACTATACCGGGCACCGGCACTATTCAGAGTACAGAAAGACTTGATATTCCGGTGTGTGCGAGCCGAAAACAGCGGCACTAGACCGGCAACCGGCACTATTCAACCGGCACTATATCGGGCCACCC